TTAATTGTTTCAGTTTGAGTTTTATAAGTGAAAATATGCCCTTTGTTTAAAAAGCATAAATAATACTTTTCTTTAAAGAAATGCTCATGTAGAAAGCATTCAGAACAACAAATTTCTCTAGAACATTCAGTGAGGGGGATGACAAGGAGAGGAGCCTGTCTGTTTTTATCTAGGTAAGCTACAGAAATACATGTAATATTTTGCCTTTCCTATGTTCGCCTTCCCTATTTAGTCATATATTTTGTTCTTGGACTAATGTCGCTGCTGGAATACAAAACCTATTGTGAAGGAAGATAGTGAAATGAGAGTCCATTCTGTGCATGTCAACAATCTTTTCCATAAAATACAGCCATCTGAGACATCCTTTCCTTAAACACTCTTTTTGCTCTTCAATTCAATGCGTAGGATTTCTTGCTGCTTATCAAAGACAGAATTATTTGCACAGGCACAGAATCCATTCTTGGCTAAATGGGTACTTTATGAAGAAAAACACTCATAAAAGATTAGCACAGTCTATGGGACTATAGGTGGATTGCTGCAATTTTGTATTACACCACAAATAAATGTTTATAAAGATTTATAAAGCCCACTCGGTACCTGAAGAACATTCATTAAGACGCCTGTTATAAGTAGTCAGGGGAAGGAAAAAAAAAAAAAAAGAAGTGAATGAAGCTTCCAGTGAGAAACATTGTTTCCACTAAACCGTGACTGAGCAATTTCATTGATTGAGGGTTTCCATGAAATTTCACTGTTAAAAGTATTTTTTGGTTTAGCTCTTATTTTTATGTTGAAACTTTTCCTTCAGCTAAAAAGCATGAAGTGTCAACACTGAAGACAGGGCATTTTGACAACAACTTTATCCCAAAATTAAATATGTGAAATTAGATGTGAAAGGTAGCAGCATTCTTACTCTTCCCTAACTATAAAAAATAAAAAAATCTATTTCTTTGAAAGAAGTCAGGTTTCTGAACATTAATTTGTCAGGCTTCCTCTGAGTCACATTTTACAGCCTTTGAGTACCTTGCTATTCCTGTATGAGGCAAATAAAGGCCACATTTTTATTTAAGGGACTGGAGCTTGATGAACTGATGAATCTAGCACTGTATTCACACAGAACATGAAGAAAACTGCAATATGTGTACGGGTGTTTATACTAGCTTGTATCTATGCAGCACAGTTGAAGCAGTATGAATAAGTGACACGCAGAAATATATACGGCATTTTTCCAGCTTACTAAACAAGCCTGCCATGGGACTGAATGCAAGCACCCTCAAACCTCAAATAATATGCTAGCATATCTTTTACTAGTCATTTCACTCTAAGGCTGTAGCATGCCAAACTCCGCTTTGACCGCTACCTGAGGAGCAGCTCTTGCTCTGCTAGCATGTAGCTCCCCAGGTAGTCTTCTTGAACCCACACCTTGGGTTCAGTCTTCTGAGGCCCCAGGCTGGGATACCAGTGGGACCAAGACACAGAACAAAGAACACAAGAAAAACACGATGACAGACACTGTAAATTACAGTATATTACCCTCATAACAGATATGTTACGCTGGTGGATTGTGATCCTCTGAAAACTCCTGCTCTGTATCATCAATGACAAGCCTTAACTTCCTGTTTCTTAATCCATCAAATCCATAGTCAGAGTGACAAAAGATTGTGCTTCAACCAAGTTGGAGTCAATGTGAGTCTCAGCTAAGGAGTATTTGAGAAATACTGTGACTCCTCAACAGATGCATGTGCTCAGTTAACTCCCACCTAACAATTCCTCTTTCTGTTCAAGTGGAAATGGGAGGGGATGGTAAAAG